TTTGCGAATTTCAAGTTGCGTGGCAGCAGGTAAAGCGTGTTATATATGTACCCATACAAAACCACTTGCAGGAAATATTGAGATGTTTATGTATGTGTAATCCGTCAGCTATCAATTATTAAACTAAGATATGTCTACTTTTTTCTTTTTTTTTTTTTTTTTTTTTTTTATCTATTTCCGTCTACTTTATTCATGCACAAAATCAATTTTTATCGTAGAAAATATTGAAAGTTTATTTGGTGATATGGTAATTAATTTTCTCGATTAATATCGTCACGTTTTTTTATATCATCGTGTTCGCATAATTTACATTATAAATTCACACTCGTTACTTTTGTCAATATATTATATTTTTCAATAATAATAATAATAATGATTATGCATGAGTTCGAATTGAAAATTTTCATGTAATAAAAAATCAGATCGAAATTATATTTATTCGTACGATTTTAAAATACAGGCACACATTTTACGTACACTATTTTCATATTTATTTATTACAATTCACTTATTATGAATAAAGCTTTCAAGTTGAACTGATTAAATATGTAATGAAGGTATACTAATGTATTTATTACTAAATTATCTTCATCCTAAATATACTATGTCATTAATTATCAAGTAAAAATCTAATAAGCGTATTGATGTACGATTTAAAGAGACACTCAGGGTATATAAAGTATGTTGTATAATACTATGTGAAATTTATATCATTTATCGTAAACTAACTGCGCTTGCTATAATGGAGATTTAAACAAATTTTGATCGATAAGTCAAATACGACACGCTTAATAACAATACGAGCCAACATTCAAACAAATTTTCAGAGATTGGCTTTCAGCGTAATTTGACAAACTTTGAAATTGTTTCCCTCGTTAGATGACAAGTATCGGAGTGAGTAAACGCAACCATGACGTTACCGCGAATTAATTTACACAGACGTTTTAATCGAATTTCCAGAATAGCGACCACATATGTACATATACTCAATGTATATATACATAATTAAAAATATTTAGTGTGCGTAGAATTAAACATATATATCCGTGATCAACATTCGTATATTGATTAAATAAAGTTATCAATAATTCATTTCCAGCAATATTTTTATTATTATTCAAATAACGTAAAAATAATTATTAGCGTGTTTAATACGAAAAGTAATAATTCACTGTTATTAAAAGTAAATATTTCAGATTATTTTTTTTTTTCTTATGATCTGTTATAAATACCGTAAGCAATGGAAAAAAATTAATCCTTATGATTTTTGTGTATAAATGTGTTAATAATGAATTTTAATAATATTTCATAATTAGCTGACTGGAACTTTTACTTACCGGCTGTGACTATTGCACCAAACAAATTTGATAGTCGTAGTATACTTTTGTTCCTGTATAAATGTATTTTTCTATCATTCGTCATTATTGACAGCATACGACAACAAAATTTTTCAACATAGCAATTCTAAAAGTTCCTTCGACAAAAGCTTCATATTCCGAGAGTAAAAATATTAGAAAAAGAAATTACTTTTTCCTGCGAGCACCTTACCTTCTAACATACATACACACGATGCTTATAAAATTTTTTCCGTTAAACTTTCTGTCCGTCATACTCATTTCTATCTTCTTCTTCCGTTGCTTTCTCAACGACGCAATTACTAGTGCATACGTGATGACGTGAACCAACCCCTCTTTAAGTTGTAGGGTTGGCCCATATTCTTTCCTTTTTCGTTTTCGCGCCACTATGGACTTACCACTGACCTAAGAGTACAAGATTGAAAAAGAAAGAGAAAGATATACGTTCCTAAAGTTGACCTCGTTCAAGATTTAACGTTAAAACAAGTACTTTAAAAAAAGATATTCTTCTCTCGTATAAGATTATGATTATATCTATAAAAAGAGTATAATACATTCGTTTATAAATGAAAATCTTGTTGAATAATCAAACATTGCAATCAATCTTTTATTACATATTTATTCCTTTTTGTTCATTTAATTTATTATATATCATTGTAATAATTTATTCTTTCTTATAATTATACGTTTTTTAATTTAATATCTATGTTAAGCATTTATATCAAATATTGCAAAATGTACGATCCCGGAAAAGTCGATTATCAATTTTAAGAAGAAAAAAAATAAAAATTCGAAACGTTAGTTGAGATAGACGATACTAGTTAAAATTTCATTTTTATGGTAATACAAGTGTTAGGGGAAAGTCAGTAGGAATCAGTAGGTAGGCACGTATAATACGTGATTTTATTTATGCATAAACCACTCGGTTGGATAGGCATCCATAAACCGCCGTTTCAGGGGTTCATTCGAAACTTTTCCGCTCCAGAAACGCTCTTGCTTCCTCCTTTTCTCCGAGCATATATTTATCTATGTATTGTTGCTTCTACTCGAGGATAAGGTTCATAGTCATTGTTAGAATTAAAGTTAGACGATAGGAACACTTTTCGAGTGTAACTTTGATACGCAAGCGCAAATATATATGATTATTCTTTTCCAATATAATATATATATATATATCCAATAAATAATAATACTTACCTTATATCTTTTAAAGTAATTAATTACAGTCAATTTTATTTCCTATCGATTCGATGTAATTCTGTGTCGAATAAATAAAAAAGTATTTTTATATGATAAACGCGAAGATCCATATTCATAAGATTGTTTTTTCTTTTGTTATTAATTATTATACGAGTTATATTATTATGTTAATTTTTACATTATTTCTTTCCACGATTTTGTTATTTTCACATTTTCATTTATTTTCATATCTTCGATCGTAATAAAATCGTCACCCAAATTTTCGAAATACTCTTAAAGAGTATTGAGAGTTTGCGGTGTACGATATGAAGACATCGATATTTACGATTTTGCGACGATGCACTCGCATTAAACTTAAGTCCTTTTAATTTTATGGTCCATCGTAAAAGCGCACTTTAATCCTTTCGACGAGGAGAGAAAAACTACAGTTGCCCGACAGATGCCCATTTAGGGGATCAAAATCGTTATCTTTCTTTCTTTCTCTTCGGTTGTAACTCTTACTTAGCTTTACTTTACTTTACTTTACTTTACTTTGCTTTGCTTTGCTTTACTTTAATTTTACTTTATTCGCTATTACTTTATTTCGAATAATAAATGTCACTTTTTGTATTTAACCGATTCGTGCAAAAAACAAAAAAAAACGCGAAAGAAAATCATGTTGAAAAAGATTCGAAACGGAATACTCGGTATTTCGATTTGATTTTTCTCACTCGTTAGATATTAATTAATAATTAAATAAATGTAGTGATTATATATATTAGTAATAATTTTGTTCGTTAAGGAAAGGAAAAGAAGAAAAAAGAATAAATGATCGATAGAGAGGAAATATAAAATTATTTCATCTGTGTGTCTCTGATTTTTATTAGAATTATTATTCATTATTGGAACTCGAACCTTGAACCAAGTAATGAATGAACTGAAAAGGTATATAAATGGTATAAAATAAAAATAGATCTGTATAGCTTCGTTTTTACGAAACATTAATTTTTCACAGAAGGGCTAGTAATTCTTCCGTTATCAACACGCTCGTTATTTCCCATCCTAGTATGCATATAGCCTCATTAAGGGAAAAGCTTTAATCTTTCTGTCTCATCAACAAAATTATACCGAATGAATAATCGATTTTCTCTTTATCATGGAAGCTTCTTCTTCTTCTTCTCCTTTTCTTTTTTTTTTGCCGAGTCATCGATGAAAAAATTTGTTCTACGTTCGTTACGATGAAATTGAAAAATAATTTTCTCATAACGTGTTATTCATTTACGAAATTTTTAGATTGATAATGAATTAGAAAAAGTTCAAAGATTAAAAAAGTATTTTCTACTTGGATGATACGAAAACATAATTCTCGAGTAAGATCATAAAAAAAAGAAAAAATGTAAAATCAAATTTGATTACAAATTACATAATATTAACGTCATTTTTTTTATTTTATCTTTATTAACAATACACTATACAATTGCTGTCGATCGATTTTTTTTTTAGTTTCAAATTGATTCCTTCTTTAACATCATGATAAAATACTAGAATTTTATTTTTTTATTTTCTTGGAAAAGGAAACAGTTTAAACTATCTACTTTTGTTTGGATTTTTTTTTTTTTTTTTATTTATTTATTTATCCTGTGGAAAAAAGCGGGGGCTCGTCCGCGATCGTCCACGTCGTTTAAACCGTTTTCTTTTCACGTGTGTGTACACACCATCATACATGCATACATACATATACACACGCACGCACGCACGCTCACGACACACAGAGAGTTCATTTATTTTAAACGATAAATCTCGATATAGATATACAATTAATTAATTATATCTAAAGCTCGTTCAATTCGTTTACAATCAGTCGATGTTTAATAACAATAATTTTATATATAATCAAAGAATAGTGCTAGTTAATTAAAGCGTTTAGAATTTTAAAGAGATAGTCGTACGTTATTATAATTATTAAATAATCATTTTTTTTTCTTTTTCGCATTGTGTAATTATATTCTTTTATTTTTCTTCCATTTTTGTTTTTTTTTTTTTTTCTTTTTCTCTTTCTTACAAGAAATATTTACATATTCAAAACAGTGTTTAATATTAAAACGACGAAAAAAAAGATTTCATATCACTTCTAATCGATATTCGATGGATCAGATCTCAAGTTTTGATCATTTTAATATTATTCGTTTTATTTTCAATTTATACTAATCGTTTATTATATTATTATTATTATTATTATTATTATTCATCTCATTCACACGTTTACAATTTCATTGACTATATAATATCTCTCAAATTATTCCACCACACGCCACTCGTATGGATGTACTTTTTTTCTTTTCGTATGTACAACGTCAAAGAAGAAAAAAAAAAAAAAAAAAAAAAAGAAAAAAGAACATAAACCATCGAATGCATGCTTTGAGTTTTTTTTTCTTTTTTTTTTTTTTCTTCCCTCTCTTCATTTTGTTTATCTTCTTAAAATTATACAGAAACATTCAGTACCGATTCTGTCAGTCCAGCAGTAATTATATCGGTGGGCGTAGATTTTTCTATCTGTAACATTGAAAAATCGAATAGATAATTTTTCTGAGATTAAAATAGAACGAACAATGTGTTTGAACAAATCTGAAATATAAGTCTATTGTTGTTTAAATTCTTAGAATATATGATCTGTGGAGGGTCCCTTCGAAATCCACCGTTGAACATAAAAATGATATAAGAATGTTAAGAATGTAATAATCTTAAATTTGATTTATTACGAATATTATTCCCCTTATGCACATGCGCAGCTTTCGCGGAAAGTCATAGAAACAATATTTATTAAAAGAAATTTGATAGAAGACAATGACTCAGTCAAACGGTGGATTTCGAAGGGAACGGTACACAGATCATATAACTAATAACTACATTAACATTTTTTTTATATATTTTTTTTGTATTCTACTTTCTTTATAAATAACGAATAGAATTAATAATAAGATCGTACAATCTTTATCGGAGATCTATCTTTGCCTTTTATAAAAGTAAAAAGGTATACATGGAAGAGAAAAAATGTTGAGAAAATATAATACATGTTTTAACAAAAGTTATTTTTTTCTTTCTTCTTTATAAATAACGAGCACGAACACTTTTATGGAAGTTCTTCTTTAAATAGGTCAGTAGTAGTAATAGTAGTAGTAGTAGTAGTAGTATAGTAGTTTTTTTCAAGTATAAAAATACGCCAAATCAATGGAAAAATATTTTCTTCCCCGTCGTCTGTCTCTGTGGGAAAATCTTGAAAAAGGGAAAGATTTTATCTGCCATCACTTTACGTCGTTTCTACACTTTCCAATAGTTTGACAATTTCCAATATACGTTTAAATCCTCAAAATGTTATCGAAGAAAAAGAAAGAAATGTAGAGAAATTCAATTCTTACTCTATATACGATTACTTTTATCCCTTTTAGCTATCACCTTTGATAGATTTTCATCGAGTTCGTAAAATTCCGTTACAGTTTTATGTGTACTCGTATTGTGTGTGTGTGTAGTATCTATCCGATAAAGTTATCTAGATTTTATCTCGATCGATATTGATTTCTAATTCCATCAAATGTTACGTTAATTAAAACGTAAAAATAAATAGAAAAAAAAAAATTAAATGGTACGCAGATTTAATGTAAAACCTTGAGAACCGGGATCGTTATTTATGTATTTTCTTTTGAATAAATATAATAAATTATTTTTAAATAATACAAAAAAAAAATATCTAGAGTTAGTTGAGCTAAAGTTTCAAAAAGTCGACTATCGGTACGAGGATTCTTACGAATTGTTAAAAAAGTAAGATTTTTAAATCGAAAATATGAAATATCAATTAGAAACGTTGCAAATATAACTTGCAAAGTTTATTTTCCATCTTTCTATTATTACTTTTTATCAAATGTTCGCATTTATCATATTGCTGGAAATAATTACATTTGTTTACAATAATAATCATTTCATTAAAATGATTCATTATTAAATGAAGAATTTAAATGTATATTGCTCATTAAAAATAATGATATTAAAAATTGCCGTTTTAACGATACAACAAATGTTTCCTCGAAAATAATCAGATATCAAACTAATTGAGAAATTCATTTATTCTAGGACGAAAAAATTTGCACGTTTTTGCATAAATAAGAGAAGGTTTCCAACTTTGAAATTCTGATTTTTTTTTTTTTTAATACAATTTTGAAAGTATATATATCTAGAGTCCATCAATTATGTAAAGGATCATTTTTCGTAGGAGAAAATTCACTTTAAAGGAATAAAATTACCTGTTATATAAGCTGACAGAACATTTTTCCGTTCCTTTCCGATTTAACTGTCTAACCGTATATGATTTAAAAAAAAAAAAAATAAAGGGAATAATTTTCTTTTCATGAAAATTACATCCCGTTCAAAGACCCCTTTTATCGGATAAGAAAAATTTCTGATGAATATAAATGAATTAATTAATTTTTCTTTCTTTATTCAAATTACATATGTCTAATTCGAAGATAAACAAATTAATTGTGGCCCTTTTAAAACCTCCTTGAAATTAATGACGAACATCATATTATAATTTATCCCTTGTAATTCAAATGATAGGAGACAATTACTGCAAGCACACGACGATATTATATACGACAAGAATTTTCCATTAGTTAAAATGAAGCCAATGTTCAACTTGTCTCGACTATCAACCACCCACCTCCCCCAAACTTTCCACCCATCCTGAATCCTCAAAGAAACTCTTCTTACGTTAATTTCCACTACGAATTCGTTTACTCTGTTTTATTCTTTTCTTAAACATTGCCAGCATTTACCAGTTTCTCTCTCTCTCTCTTTCTCTTTCTCTTTATTTCTTTGTCTCTTTCTTCCAGTCGTTTTTATCTCTTACCATTTGCTTTTCACTTTCCATTCTATCGTTTCTTTCTTCCTGTTTATTTCCCTTTTCTTTCTTTCTTTCTATCATTCTTTATCTTTTTCCATTTCCCGTTTCCTTCTTTCTCGTGGATCACGTTGATGACGTACTCTAACGGTAAATAAGTTTTCCAAACTTGAAACATCTTTCGGGGGTAAATACTCAACGAAAGAAAAAGAAAAAGAAACGTAACAGGAAGTTTTAACAGCTGATTTCTAACATCGTTGTCACACGACAATTTTCCAATGAGAACGTTTACCCGAATGACCATGCACAAATTAAATGTACAAAAGAAACGTTCTCTTATGTAATTATAATGGGAAATAAATATTTGTTTTTTTTTTCTCTTATTTTATACTTTATTATCGTTATATATGTATATGGTAAATTGTACATGTATATATGCGTAATCATTTTTAGAAATAATTTTCTAAACTCATGTTCGATCTAATAGTTGCAATTTTTCTAGTATTCTCGTTAATAGTTATTTTCATACGATCGTATAAAAACGTCTTCTATGCATATATTCATGTATTTGTATATATAATATGACTAGTAGAAACGTGCATGCATGTTTTTGTTTTTACGAAATGGTGCATACAACCATCTATGAGGTACTCTAATAAGCCAACCGTACGTTTTCGAGTTACAATAGTTTTGTTCAATAGTTCATCAGAAATCATACAACTGTTATCGACATTTTACAATGCATATATAATAAACTTATTTCAAAATTTAAATACGAGTATTAAAAAAATATATTATTGAATATTATTGATGAAATATTTGAATTTTGAAGCACGTAATTAATTTAACCAATATCATTAAAATAAAATTCTTTATATTAATTTATTATTATGTAATTTATATATATATATATATATATATATATATTGTGTAGGAAATACTAATATTTATTCTATTAAATATTTGATTATTTTAAATATTATACATTATATTAATGGTAATAGTTTTTTTTCGTTTGCTTATCGACATTACATAAAGTGTAAAATACATTGCAGATAAAATTACAAATGTTAATTTTGTAAGATCAAAACATTTACTTTCTCGTCTACTTTTTAAGTAAAGATAGAAAGATAGAAGGGGGAATAAAAAGAGCAAAGTTTTTTTCAATTCTTTTCATTATGATCCATCCCACGTCGTTTGATTTAAATACGTCACCACGTTAACCGCAAATTTATCTCAGGCAAATAAAAAAGAAGAAAAAGAAAGTATTTGATCTTGCCAGCTAGCTAGCTAGCTAGCTGCTCGTTCACGAGAGTTTCGTTAACGTGGATGAAACGATGATAATAAATTCAAAAGTCCTATCTATGCTTTCTTTTTTGTTTTTTGTTACTTCACTTTATTTCAAATAGATCGTAGGAAAAAGTGAATATCATTAACGAAATAAGAACGATCTTGTGATAAAAAATATCAAAGTTTATCATGAAAAGTTCAAAATTAAATAATCACGAATATTCTTATTTAATATTCTTTTTACAAAGATTAATATTAATTTGTTAAAAAATTTGTGTATCATTCAGTGATAACAAAATAATGTTTATCATCGTTTTTATTTAATGTGAATATTGTACAAAACCTAAACTACGTTATCAAAACGTTTTCTCACGATAAAGCGAAAATCACTGAAACTAGGTAAGTTAATAGAGTAATCCAAACTTCCAAAACATTTGCTGATACGACAAGAAGCTAAAAAATCAAGTTACCCTTCGAGATTTCTCTCTTCTTTTTTTTCTTTTTTTTATCTTTTGGTTAAAGTAGAACATTCAGCAGTGTTTTTCACGTACGAGGTACTATCCACGTCGAAAAGAATAAAGAAAATAGAGTATATATATATATACATATGTACGTATATAATATATGTATACGAGAGTATACAAACTATGTGTGAATTGTATGTAATCTTACTCCTTGCAAGATAACAAAATTTTGTATCAAGACGCTAAAGAAAAGAAAAGGAAGAAGATAAAAGCAGAAAAATAGGGAAAGAGAGAGAGAGAGAGAGAGAAAGAAAGTTATCAAAAGTAGTATCGTGGAACCGTGAAAGCCATTGTTAAGAAAAGATACAAGTATGTAAATGAAAAAGTTCGTAATGTTAAAAAAAAAAAGAACTTTTCCCCAGTTGATCAATATACTACAAATAATATCAAAATTATTCTCTTGTAATATTCGAATCCCCTTTCTCAGGTGTAAGGAAAGAACAAGGAACGAAAAAAAAAAAAAAAAACAAAATGTCATTTTAATAAAAACATTTTTAAAAGAAACTTCCTTATGCTTGTGTTAAAACAGTTAAAGTGATTTATAAAGTTTCTTATAGAACAAACACCATCGTATATTTACCAACCAACCACTACCAACACTTATCACCCGATTTATGGTGGTATCGATTCTCAAGAATTTTCTCATTAAAAAAAAGAAAAAAGAAAAAAGAAAAAAAAAAGAAAAATGAATAAACAAGAATGGAAACACGAAAAGTTTCTCATACGTTTAATCATGCGACGATGAAACAATGTCACTGGGATCCAATTAATTCGATAATCTTCACGAAGCTGGATTATACGTACTTAATCGAATTTCGAGAATGCAAGGTAGATATATGGCGGACTGG